GGTGGTTGGAGATGAGTGTTGGGGTGATTTATGTCTGAGGGATAGCAGCAAGAGTGACAGGGAAGGTTTACAAAACAGTAGTGAGAATGCTATGATGTATGTTTCATGGCATTGACATTGGCACTGACAAAAACAGGAGGCAGAGCTGGAGATGTTGAGACTTTCATTGGGACATAATTAGAAATGACTACATCAGACAGACAGCTCAAGTTGAGCAGTTTGGAGACAAAGTTAGAGGGCAAGACTGGTTTGTGCAGAGGAGAAATAATGGATTATTGGATGGTGAACATGGATCTGGCAGGCAGGAAATGCAGAGGGGTGATGTGATAGAGGAGGACACTAGAAATAGGGTCCACAATTCCCTGTGGACACCCCTAAGGGAAGGAAAGAAGAAGAAGAAGAATCTGTGCAGCACTTAAGTTTCATTTAAATGTTCTACTGTATATGAGTAAATTGCCTTAACTTGGCCATTCAACTTGCCCCCACTGGCCCAGATTTAAAGCACTTCTCCATTGGCTTCACCTTTCATATGTAGCCTGTGCTTACATGCTGCTTTACTTGTAATTTAGCTCCTTTGGTATTCGATGCTGTCCAGGATTTAGGCATTTCCAATTTAAGATATTGTTATTATTGTTGTTTTTATTCTTACTTTTTATTTTATTAATTATCTTTCATGGTGGTCTTTATTTTCATCAGTAAAATATAATGTTTTATATTTGCTATATAGACACGTAAATACATAGTAATGCACTAAAGAACTGTTTCCATCTTCTTAAATAATGTTAGGTTAAGTAAGTAAGCTATATATGTATATTGTGATTTCTGCATTGTTTGCCTTTCCTTGCTTAAGAAATATAATGGAAACAATCAGTGTTGACCAATTTTACCGCCCTCCATCAGTTCCTGTTTGCTGGCACCCACATGAGAGACGATATCGCGTCTGAGGCCTATGAGGACGAGTTGGACATGGGTCGCTCTGGATCGTACCTCAACAGCAGCATAACGTCAGCATGGAGCGAGCACAGCCTGGACCCTGAGGACATCAGGGTGAGGGGTGTTTCCACCAACTTTTACATTTCCATTGTGCACCTTTTGAATCCTCCAAAAATACTGAGCCATGGCAGTTTTTTATTGCAGACACCAGACGAAATGGGCCATCTCAATTCTATTAATGGCTGTGGCATAAGGTCTTGCGACAGCCTTTGGGAAAAACGTGCCAACGTGAGCAGAGATATCTGTTTGTCTGTTAGAGCTGAAGAAGTCTCTCTACCAAAATATTTGGGTACCTTAAGCCTATAATGTAGAAGAGGGGGTTTTATGGTGACATCCAGGTGTTTGAGAGCATTCACTGTCACGGAGGGAAATGCAGATTGAAATCCAACTGATTCAGGATCTGAGCTTAGAGGCTGTTTCAGACCTAACACTAAAAGACACTCCGTTTTCTTATTTGATGCTGTCCTAAACTGTCCCGTCTTTGCTTTTTTTCAGCATGTGATACTCTGTAATGCATTATTTAAAAACTGTTTGTAGTCACGTGTCATTAGGTAGTACTGCATGCTTTCTGTGCAGCAGATTGTGTGCTTTTCTGTAGCAGTGTTTGAGCGCGACCTTTGTTTGTTTGTTTGTTTTTTTATTTAGCCAGGTTATTGTCTTTAAAAAAAGACTTACAACTTTGTATCTGTCTTATCATTGATGTGTAGGAAGAGCTGAAGAAACTGTACTCCCAGTTGGAGATTTACAAAAGGAAGAAGATGCTAGCAAACAACCCTCATCTCCAGAAAAAGCGAAGCTCTAAGAAAGGGCTAGGTCGCTCGCTGATGAGGCGCATCACAGAGATTCCCGAGTCCGTGCATCGCCAGTGCAGCCGTGAAGAGAAGGAAGCGGGAGAGCATGGCAGCAATCGTAACAGCATCTCCATGCTGAAGAAAACCCCCTTGGATACGACTCACCCAGCAAAACCAGCGAAGGAAGAGACACTGAAGAACAAGGTGTTCTCCCTGAAGAAGTCACACAGTAGCTATGATCACGTCCGGGACCAGAATGAGGACTCCAGCAGCACTGTAAATGATAAGATTGATGAGAACACAGCTGAAGGGTCCCTCCTGGATACACTTATGGGCAAGAAGCTGGTCAAGAAGACATCCAGTGAGAACATAAACGCCCCCAGTGAATCTACAGAATCAGTTCCCTTGGTATGCAAGTCAGCAAGCGCCCATAATCTCTCTGCAGACAAGAAACCAATTCATCCTAGAGCCTCCATGCTGCAGAAGTCCCTCAGTGTCATTGCTAGTGCCAAAGAGAAGACTTTGGGCTTGACTGGAAAGACCCAGGGTACAGAGGAAAGCAATAAGAAGAGTCAGCCAAAGAGCAAAGACACAAAGGCAAATGTAGAGCCAGAAAATGAATGCCAACCCAAGATGATTATCAGCCAGTCAGTCGAGTACAAACAAAGCACCACAAAAGGCATAATCATGAAACAGCCAGTTAGTGGCAGCCAACCGACAATCTGCTCCGAACCCATTAAGGGAAAAGACCTCTATGATCTCTCAGAAGTATGCCCCTGGGAGGTGGAAGATCTCCCAACTCCATCTGAAAATAAGGTTCAAAAGCATGTATCTATTGCACCAAAGGAAACCACAACTGTTCATGGAGGTAGCACGAAAGGAGCCAAGTCTCAGAAGCAGAAAGGTTCTGATCATTCTCCATCCAGTGGCAGGCACCCAAAGGAGATTCAGAGGTCATCGGCTATTCGAGCAGAGGTGTGCCCATGGGAAGACAGAGGTGAGAGTCAAGCCAGTCAAGCGGAACCATCGAAGCAATCGATGTCTCAGTCTAAAGCCCAGCAGCCTCCCTCTTCAGTTGAAAGCTCCAGAACACATCGGGCAGATGTTTGTCCCTGGGACTTCGAAGAGCTGAAAAAACCAACAGAGTCAGCTCACTCACCAGACGTGACAAAGCAGAAAAAGGGAACCTCTCCAATGGATGTGAGAGATCCACCTAAAGGATCACTCCAGCCACTAATATCAAAAGTCAACGTCTGTCCACGGGAATTCGACAACAGTGCAGCTGCTCCAAATTCAGAGAGGATACCCAGCCCCTCACAAGCACCCAAAACCAAGGAGTCCCCTTCTAAAAAGAAAGGGCCCCCTTTCACAAGAACAGTTGACCAAGAAAAATCAAAAGACACTGATGATGAGAAAAGCAGAACAAAGGTGAAGGACAAGAGTAAATCTTCAGAGAAACATGTCGGCCAGCAAAAAATGGCCGAGGTCTGCCCGTGGGATGTAGAGAGTCACCAGGAAATGCTGCTGGTAGAAAAAAGGAAAAGCGCTAATGTTGGAGCAGCCAAAGAAAAGCAGGCGGAAGTCTGTCCGTGGGATTTTGAGGAAAAAACGGATACAGACAAAAGTTCTTCTGCAGTGAAACAGAGCAAACCAACTCCTAAAGGGGGGCCTGTAGGTGCTGCTAAAAAGGCAGATGTTTGTCCCTGGGACTTTGAGGATAGTACGTCGAGCAAGAAAGCATGACACTCAACCTTAATGGACCACTGATATATTATAATTATTGATGTATACTTTTTTTCCACTTTGAAATCGTTAAATATCACCTTTTACTATTAGTACGGTGACTTGGAAGCAAAGTTGATCCACAAGTTGCCTTCCTTTCCAAGGTTTTGTTCCTGTTTTATCTATTTTGGAAAAAAGTGAAATCTACAAAAAAAAAAAAGTCATGATGAGCATTCCAGATTATTACAGGACACTCCTGAAGAGAAATTGTAGACTAATTATGCAACTTTTAATTCAGTCTTTTCACTTCATAAGCAATGTTAAACATCCATGTTCACCATGTCAGCTGTTCTTACATTTTTTTTGCTATGATTAGTTCTTGGACGAGACTGTAGAGACAAATATTGATGTGTATAAACAAGAAAGTATAAAATTAAGGTTGAATTGCATAACAGGGAAAGTGAAAGCCAAAGAACAAGTGAACAGTTGCAAAGAGGGATGCAGGTCTCGAAGCTCTAAAGTTAATTTATTAGTTTTTGTCCTTGGCGTAGGAAAGAAATCAGTCTATAGCACTTTAGCCAATTTCACAAATTAAGAACTGAGGACAGGTTATGTCCATCTTGTACATTTTGTCTTCTTATTTTCAACCACATGGCATGATATCACACACGATATAACACACTGACCAAACTCAGACATGTTTTGTTTGTTTGTTTGTTTTTTGTTTAGATCTATTTAATTGTAGTTCTCGGCAGATTAAAATGCTTCCAAGTCTGCGGAGATGTACTGTATGTGCCTATCTAACTAGCATTGTCTTGTATCAGTCTGAAGAGAAGCGAGTGTCTTCTTCTTCAGCATTTTGTGATGGTGAATTATATAAACAGCATGCACAGCCAGGTATCGAGAGTAGATGAAGCCTACCGGTTTGTCTACTAAAACAGTTAATGTGTTGGCAAATCTATAATGTTGTTTTCAGTTCACTTTTTTGAGACCCTGTTTTATAGTTTCAAAAGCTAAAGGGTGATATTTGAGAGCAGCGTTAACATGAATGTGTCAGATATGTTCACATATGTCAAAAGTAGTGAAGGAAAAGTTATTTGCACCAGCTTTGTGTATGAATCCAGCTTGGATCTTTGTCTTGCACCAAATGTGAGTAAGTGTGTGCCTGAGGATGCAATATTTAAAGGACAAATGAGATGCAGAAAAATTTGCAGAAGATCTGTTCTTGCCTTTGTGTTTACCGTCCTACTGCCTCAACGTAAAAAAAAAAAAGGAAAGCAACTTCTCTTACACAATAACAGAAGCATTCTGGGTAATTAAAACTTGGGTTCTGTCTAGTAGTTGTGGCCACTAAAATTTGCCAGATAGTCCCACAGGTTTTTAAGGAGACTTCTGGCTTAGCTAAAACTGTCTGGAAGTTATTACTTAGTCTGGATAATCATCCATCAAAATTAAACAAATTAACATGCTATGCATCTGTAGATTATAGTCTAATGTAATGGCCTAAAAGCAAAAGACACCCTGTTTGAAAATGAAGGAGACACTAATCGCTTTTGGGTCATGTCAGCAAGGGCAGTTAGCATAAATATCGAAAATGTGGAGATCCATGCTGTAGCAACAGAAAGTAACCTTTAGTTAAAGAAATGAGCTGCCTGAAATGCTGCTGTGCCTCTGGGACCTCATTTTTCATAGACATAGCTACTTTTTCTGGATCTTGCAGCGATAGATGACTTTGTTAGCTACACTTGTGTGCTACACTGCACTTGAGCCCACTATGTTTAAGTCAGTCAATCCCTTGAGAATATTGAAAATGCCCAACTTTACAGTGTGCGAGTGATCTGACAAATATTATAGATTATGATGCATTTCAATGTACTAAGAGTCTATGCAAGAGGTCTGTACAACAGTTGTAATGAGTGTGAGTGCTGGTATGTTTTTGTTTACACTCAACTGTTCACTGTTCATTAGCGCAAATCTTGACTTAGTCAGTCACATGGTAACTCAGTCCATTTAGGTATGTAGACATGGTCAAAAAGACCTGCTAATAGGGAAGTTTAGAATGGGAAAAATCTGTGATTTAAGTGACTGAACGTAGTATGATTGTGGTTGTCAGATGAGCTGGGATGAATATTTCAGAAACTGCTGATTTGTTTATATTTTCTCACATTCCCACTCTAGAGTTTACAGAGAATGGTCCAAAAACAGAGAAAAATATCCGATGAATGGCAGTTCTCTGGGCAAAAATGACATTTTTGATGTGAGAAGTCGGAGGAGAATGGCCAAACTACTTATAACCACTTGTTACAAGCAACGTATGCAGAAGAGCATCTCTTAACCTTGAAGCCGATGACCTATAGCTGGAGAAGCCTGTCCTAGATGCTATTTCTGTCAGCTAAGAACAAGAAACTGAGCCTATTTCACATTGACTCACCAGAACTGGACAATAGAAGACTGGAAAAATATTCCCTCTGGTCTAAGAAGCCTCAATTTCTGCTCCAACATTTGCATGGTAGAGTTAGAAGCTGGAGTTAACAACACAAAAGCATGGTTCAATTCTGTATCAGTGGTTCAGGGTGATGCTGCTGGTGTTGTAATAGCTTGGGGGATGTAGGCCTCTAATACAAATTCATCACCGTTTAAATGCCACAGCCTACCCCAGTATTGTTGCTGATCCTTTTATGATCACAGCGTACCCATTGTCCGATAGCTGCTCCCCGTAGGCTAACGCAAACCTCAAATCATCTCAAATGGTTTCTTGAACATTACGTTAAGTTCACTGTACTCAAATGGCCTCCACCAAACCTTAATCCAATAGCGCACCTTCCAGTGGTGAGATTCATATTATGGATCTACAGCAACTGTGTGATCATGCCACTATGAACCAAAGTCTCTGAAGAATATTTCCAGGACTTTGCTCGCTAGTACCAGGTTGGGTTAGTTAAGGTAAGTTGATGACTTATACCTTCATCCTCACTTCCACATGTGGTTCTTTCTGGCTCCAAAAAATAGAAGAAATCCCAACAGCAGCCGAAATGCCAAACTCAACTCTTCATCAGTGATGTCATGTTGTTCACATCCATCTTTTATTTACTTATATAGTGTTTCAAAGTTTATGGTCTAGTGCAGATTAAGCATCAAGTCTGAAATCTGCAATGTAGGAAACTCTGGACACAGACAGGGATGAATGAAGGTTCATCAAGTATGATCCTATCTAAATGATAGAAACAGTGGCCATAACTTCCAAAATAAAATCCAAGTTTTTATTAACTGGATAAAGGAACTGTCATTGAATGATGTGAAATACTGACAATAGTGTGACCTTTTATATTTAAAGGTTAAGCACTGCTGCAGTTTTTCTTTGCATCTCCATATTAGGCGTCATTTCAACTTAAATACAAATCAGACTGAACCCCCATTTGTTTATCAACCTAATAAGTTCATAATTAAACTTAGCATGGTAGTTATCAAATAATAATCTGACTAAATCTTTTAAAGGTTTTGAGATGTGCCGTGTTTTGTATCAAAATGTCTAAATAGTCACCATAAACTATCAAAGTGAAAAAAATACCCGCATTTATATTTGCAGTTGTGTGTCAGTAAAGCATCCACAGTGCATTGTGGTATCTTGTGAGAATTACTGATTGTAATTGTCTGTGTTCATGTCAATTTCCTCAGAACCCATTAGGGGTTGGTAATGACTATGATTCAGGCCAGTACCCATCGGTGAGTTTTCTTGAATTACTAAATTTCTTTGGCACAACTCAAATGAAAACAATCCAGCAACTGATATCATTTTCTGAGAATTACCTCCACCTCCAGCCTGTGGGAGGTGTCAGAGAGCACTGATTGATTGCAATCCTTTGATGGATCCTTATGATCTTTATGAACCAGATGTTAAGCGTCATCTATCATCTGAGTCAGGATTTCATTGCATGAGTACAGCGACATTTGAAAAGCCCCTTCTTTATTTAAACCTAACTTTGGAGTCACTGCCATTTTCACTGAACTCGGGAGAAGAATAACCTGCTGCCTCTTTTACTGTCACTGTAGGAAAGTTATTTTAAAATGGAAAGATGTGTTTGTTTTCATATTTCAAAGTGAAATGGAGCGAATAGAGGCTCCATGATTTTGGTTGAATTTAATCCCAAAAAGAAAAAGAACCAAAAACAAGCAATATGTTAGCATTTTTAACAACAGAAGGAATTTTTATGGTGTCATTTATGTTTATTTTAAAACTAAACCCCAAAAAATGACAGTGCAACATCCCAGCACTAAATGAAGTCACTGTTTTATGTAACTTTGAGTCTACTTTTTTAATTTACAATAGCGTGCTTGCTGCAGGAATTCTCAGTTCTGCCAGTCCATAGCTGTATGCGTATTAAACAGTGTGATACATAACCAAGTGTTTGTTACTGTCCGTCTCTCTGGAATTCATCAATGAGTCTGTGAGTATTTGAACCTCAGCCATTTACTCGGGTGTGAAAATCCAAGACCATTGTTCTTGTACCACGCCGTGTCCCGTAGCTTCTTTGTCCTCCAATTGGGTCGTCTCTACCATGGTGCATTTTTGTTGGTTAGCTGCTTTCATTTAAACCTGACTTCTATTTCTTGTGACCAAACAAAGTCACACAAAGGCAAATACAACTACTACTATCGCTACTACTACTACTACTCAACGCTGTAACGTCGTAAATCTTGCTCTTGTGGCTTCTGCATGAATTCAAGAAATTAGTAGGACCGATGTTTCACTGCCCTTGATAGAACAAAAAAATAAATAAAGAAAAGAAAAGAAAAAATTGATCTTTTATGGACTGTTACAAGTTGTATAGTGAGTGATACTGTCTCTAACCCACTGTATTGTGCTTGTTATAACTATTGCTCTATGACAAGCTTATAGCATCAATATATGGGAATATTTGGTAGATTTATATTGTGTTATATTGTGATAGCATGTACATAAAAGATACCTCCTCTGCAATAAATATTTATATGAAAATTAACTGTGCGTTCTCCTCTGTTTC